CTGAGAGTTTTTATCAAGAAAGGGTGTTGGATTTTGTCAAATGTGTTTTCTGCATTGATTGATATGACTATGTGTTTTTTTTCTCTCTCAATTTGTTTATGTGATGTATTACGTTTATTGATTTGCGGATATTGTACCATCCTTGCATCCCGGGGATAAATCCTACTTGGTCAAGGTGTATGATCTTTCTGATGTACTGCTGGATCCGATTGGCTAGGATTTTGTTGAGAAAGCAGGGAATGTCTTTATGTAAAATTTCTTTTCTCAACAATACGAAGTATTATCAGATTACATTCAAAACAGTGGACTTGTATAAGACACAGTCTTTATGCACTCCTCTTAAAAGAAGGAAATAAATTTGAAAACATGTTTTGTTTACTGTATTGGTTGAGACATTTAGTCACTGTATGATAAACATTGTAGCGATTTTTGGAGGCATTCTATTATTTCTTCATGAAAAATAATAAATCATTTTAAGACCAGTGATTTTTTTATTGTTGGCTTTTTCTTTTTAGAAGGTGAAGCTTTTAAGAAAATATTTCTGAAAAATAGTATTGGAAGCTTCTTTTTTTCAGGTACTGAACAGTACAGTGAATACACAGGCTATGCTGAAACTTATCGTTGGGCCCGGAGCCATGAAGATGGGAATGAAAGGTGAGTTCATTTCTGACTTGATTATTGCATGGCCAGAAGCTAAAGAATGTGGCCTCGTATATTCTGTCTGCCATCTATTCTTATTTCAGAAATTTAACTTTCTTCTAAAATTCAGTATTACAGCTTCATTAGTAGTTAAAACAGTATTATCATATATCAAAAAGAAATGAAAGCCAAAAGTCTAAATCAAGAAGAGGACGACCAGAGCTCTTTACAGTTTTTGCATCTTAGCTACCAATTGTAAGCAGTCAATAGAAGTTAACTTCCAAGGCCAGACTCATTTAGAATTGGTTATATTTATAGCTTAAAACCCTTAAACAGCATAAGTAGTTATCCTTACGTTTTCTGGGAGGCTAGGTAGGTGAAGCAATCTATGTTCAGACAATTTGCCTACTGATACAAACAATTGACAGCAGAAATTACAGTGAACTTTGCTGCTGCTATCTTCTATTTTTTATTGAAATATATTTTTACATGATATTGCTTCCCCAATAAGTTGGTTTAACAGAGGTGAATTTTTATGCATCTGGAACCTGGATGCTTGTGTGTGTGTGTGTTCTAATGAAGAAGAGCCAGTATGGGCTTAAATGATCCAATCAAAAGGGTAGCTGAATGGATAAGAAAATAAGAACCATATATATGCTATATACAAGAGACTCACCTCAGAACAAAAGATACACACAGACTATAAGTAAAGGGATGGAAGAAGATATTTCATGCAAATGGAAAGGAAAGAAAAACAGGGGTAGCAATACTTATATCTGACAAAATAGACTTTAAAACAAAGTATATAATAAGAGACAAAGAAGGACACTACTTAATGATAAAGGGAGCAATCCAACAAGAGGATTTAACCCTTGTAAACATTTATGCACTCAACATAGGAGCACCTTAATCTGTAAAGCAAACTAGATGGACATACATCATGGAAGAGATTAGCTGTAATACAGTCATAGTAAGGGATTTTAACACCCCATTGACATCAATGGATAGATCTTCCCAACAGAAAATCAACAAGGAAATGGTAGCCTTAAATGATACACTGGATCACAAGGATTTAATTGGTTACTTCAGAGCATTGCACTCCAAAGCTGCAGAATATACTTTTTTTTTGAGTGCATATGGAACATTTCTAGGATAGACCACGTTAGGACACAAAATAAGTCTCAATACATTTAGAAAATTAAAATCATATCAAAGTATAAAGTAAAATCATATCAAGTATCTTCTTTGACCAGAATGGCTTTGAAACTAGAAATAAATCAAAAGAAAAAAACCCTGAAAAACACACAAAGATATTGACTCTAACTAGCATGTTACTAAATAATGAATAGGTTAACAGTGAGATCAAGGAAGAAATCAGAAGAGACCTTGACACAAATAAAAATGAGAACACAGCAACCCAAAATCTATGGGACACAGAAAAAGCAGTCCTAAGAGGAAAATTCATAGCACTACAGGCCTACCTCAAGAAATAAGAAAAATCACTAAATAAACATTCTAACTTTATACTTAGAAGAACTAGAAAAAGAGCAGCAAACAAAGCCCAAAGTGAATAGAAGAAAAGAAATAATGAAGAGCATAGTAGAAGTAAAATAGAATCTAAAAATGAAATTCAAAAGATGAATAAAACCAACACCTGTTTTTTTGAAAAGATAAACAAGATTGACAAACCTTTAACCAGACTCATCAAGAAAAAAAGAGAGAGGATCAAAATAAATAAAATCAGAAATGAAAGAGAAGAAGTAACAACTGACACCAAAGAAATAGGATTATAAGAAAATATTATAAACAACCATATGCCAACAAATTGGACAATCTGGGCAAAATGAGTAAATTCCTAGAAACATACAATCTTCCAAACTGAATCAGGAAGAATCAGAGAGTCTGAACAAAGACAGATTACAACTAATGAAATTGAGACAGTAATAAAAAAAACTCCCAACAAGCAGAAGTACTGGACCAGATGGCTTCACAGGTGAATTTTACCATACATTCAAAGAAGGATTAACACCTAGTCTTCTCAAACTATTCTAAAAACAAGATGAGGGAAGACTTCCAAAGTCATTTTACAATGCCAGCAGTATCCTAATTCCAAAACCAGATAAAGATGCCACAAAGAAAGAACATTGTAGGCCAATATCCCTGTTGAACATAGTTGGTAAAATCCTCAACAAAATACTAGCATACCGTATCCAGCAGTACATTAAAAAGATCATACAGCATGATCAAGTGGGATTTATTCCAGGGATCCAGGTTGTACAATGTTCACAAATCAATAAATGGGATATACCATATACATAAAATGGATAAAAACCACATAATCATACCAATAGATACAGAAAAGGTATTTGATAAAATCTGGCACCAATTTATGTTAAAAATTCTCAGCTAAGGCAGAATAGAGGGAACATAATAAAGGCCATATATGACAATCCCACAGCCAACATCATACTCAATGGGTAAAAACTATAAACATTTCCCTTAGGATTGCAAACATGACAAAGGATGTCTGCTTTTATCACTTTTATTCAACATAGCACTGAAAGTCCTAGCCGCAGCAGTCAGACAAGAAGAAGAAATAAAAGGCATTTAAATTGGAAAGGAAGAGGTAAAACTGCCATTATTTGCAGATGACATAATACTGTATATAGAGAACCCTAAAGATTCCACACAAAAAACTACTAGAACTGATAAATGAATTCAGTGAAGTAGCAGGATACAAAATAGATTCCAGAATTCAGTTGCATTTTTATACACCGACTAGAGGCCCGCTGCACGAAATTCATGCACTCGGGGGGTGGGAGGGGTCACTCAGCCAAGCTTGCAAGAGAGCACAGGCCAGGCCATGGGACCCCACCAGTGCATGATCGGGGCTGGGGAGGGATGCCGGAGGTTGGCCAGCCTGGGAAGGACCGCAGGAGGGCCCCAGGGCATGTCTGGCTCATCTCACTCAGTCCCTATCAGCTGGAACCCAGCAGCAAGCTAACCTACTGGTCAGAGCGTCTGCCCCCTGTGATCAGTGCATATCATAGCAACTGATCGACTGTTTGACTGCCCCTTGGTGGTCAGTGCACGTCATAGTGAGCAGTTGAGTGGCCTTAGCATATCATTAGCATATTATGCTGTGATTGATTGATTGGACGACTAGATACTTAGCATATTAGGCTTTTATTATATAGGATAATGGGAAACTAAGAAAACAGTCCCATTTACAATTGCATCAAGAAAAGTAAAAAAACCTAGTAATAAGTTTAACCAATGCTGTAAAAGACCTGTACTCAGAAAATTATAAGACACTAATGAAAGATATTGATGAAGATAGATATAAGTAGAAGGATATACCATGTTCATTTGGATAGGCAGAATTAACATCATTAAAATGCTTATACTACCAAAAGCAATCCATAGATTTGAGTGCAATTTCTAAGAAGATACCAATAGCATATTTCACAGAACTAGAACAAATATTCCAAAAATGTATATGGTTCACCTTTTTACATGAAACATGAGAATAAACTCAAATGGATTAAAGACTTAAATGTTAGACCGAAAATCATAAAGCTCCTAGATGAAAACAGGGAGTAAAATTTTACACATTTCTCATAGCAATATTTTTTCTGTATAAGTACCGCGCGCTAACCGATTGCGCCACTGGAGCTCCTATTTTTTCTAATATGTCTCCTTGGGCAAGGGAAACAAATGAAAAAATAAACAAATGAGACTACATCAAACTAAAAAGGTTTTTCACAGCAAAGGAAACCATCAGCAAAATGAAAAGACAAACCACTGAATGGGAGAATATATTCCCCAATGATACATCTGATAAGGGATTAATATCCAAAATTTATAAAGAATTCCTACAACCCAATGCCAAAACAAACACCAAACAACCCAAATAAAAAATGAGCGAACGATCTGAATAGATACATCTCCAAAGAAGACATACAGATGGCCAATAGACATATGAAAAGATGCTCAACACCACTAAACATCAGAGAAATGCAAATTAAAACCACAATGAGATATCACCTCACACCTGTCAGAATGGCTGTCATCAGTATATCAACAACCAAGTGCTGGCAAGGATGTGGGGAAAAGGGACTGGTGGGAATGCAAATTGGAGCAGTCAGTGTGGAAGGCAGTATGGAGTTTCCTCGAAAAATTAAAAATGGAACTGCCTTTTGACCCAGAGATTCCACTTCTAGGAATATATCCTAAGAAACCTGAATCCCTAATTCAAAAGAATATATGCAATCTTATGTTTGTTGCAGCATGACAGTACCAAGATATGGAAGCATGCAGTAGATGAGTGGATAAAAAGCTGTGGTACATTTATACATGGAATACTACTGGACCTTAAAAAAGAAGGAAAGCCTACCCTTTGTGAGAGCATAGATGGTCCTGGAGAGTATTGATGCAAAGTGAAATAAGCCAGTCCGAGAAAGACAATTATCTCACTCATGTGGAATCTAATGAACAAAATAAACTAACAAACAGAATAGAAACAGACTCATAGATGGAGAACAAGCTGACAGCTGTCAGAAGAGAAGAGCATTGTGGGACTGGGTGAAAAAGGAGAACGAATTAAGAAAGAAAAAAAAAGCCAAGCGGCAGAAATCACCAGCTACTGCCCCTGCAGTCATGGCCCCTGCAGCCATGCAGATTTAGTCTTTGTCATCTCAGGCCAGCCCCTGGCCTCTCCCTTTGTTTTGTTTAAACCATGTGGTTACAGTAGTTATCTGTGTGGATGCTTAACTTATGATAGTTGCTTACAGACTAACATGAAGGCTTTTATTGCTGTTCTTCAGAGTGGAAAGTTGCTTGGCATATCAATATGTGCAAATTTATGAGATGAAATATTTGGAATTTTATGTTTTCAGAATTATCTCAGCGCTTCCCTCATATTTCCACAGGCAACGTGTTATTTGTGCTGCTTTGTGTTATTGTCTGCTTTGCTGTTTTTGTCTTTTTAAAAATATTTCCACAGTCAGCGATTGAGCACAGTAGGTAGAATGTTGTACTGAATCGTTACACATGTTGTAACACTTGACTTCTTGGGATTATTTCTTGGGTGATGTACGGTGATGTTACAGACCCAGTGACCTAGAGGAGATCTTTCAAAACAGAGGAGGAATGAGTTCTTGTCAAAATACAAATGCCATATCTTTAATATTAGAGGAAAACAAAGACCTAAGGTTTTTTTTGTTTTCCCCCAAATCCTTTAACCTCTGAGACTCACTGTAAACGATGTACCCGTTTACAATATATCATATTTTTTGTCTCTCCATAATTTTTTATGTGCTGTATAATGCCTGACAGTCCACAATGTGTACCTTGGAATCTAAAATAAAATAGTGTTTTCTGCCTTCCTGTTTTTCTGAGATCTATGACATGGGTTTGTTTTTAATATTTTAACCCTGCCAGTGTCTCAGGAAACCTGTGAGGGTTTTACTTTGTGAGTGCTTTTCGCTGTCCCTCATCTTTCCCTCCTGTCCTGCCCAGGGACGACTGGCAGCGGCGCAGCACTGAAATTGTCGCCATCGATGCCCTTCACTTCAGACGCTACCTCGACCAGTTTGTGCCTGAGAAAATCAGACGTGAGCTTAACAAGGCCAGCAACCTTATTTCTTAGTTCATCTGGCAACTGTCATCTATTTACTGTCATTTTATTAATGCTGAAATTAATGCTTTCTGGTAATTCTTGCAGTGTCAGTATGTCTGCCCATAGCTCTCCTGATTTAATGGATCTGTCAGCTTGTACAAGATGTACTTTCCATTTCGTAATTGTTTGATTACTGATGCCAGATAAACTGTTGCTTGACATGAAGCCCCACACGTGCATTTATCTCACCAAATACTGGTAGCTGCTTTGGAACATTATTGCAAAACTGTAGAGATGTGAATGAACCCTTAAAATTTTTTAGACCTACTCAATGATGTTTTTCTCCACAAGGTATACTTTGAGAATTAAAACAGGTAAACCATAAAAGTCCAGTTAAAATTGTTCTATTGTGTGTAAGATTCCTGTGAATTATTTACTGATTTTGGCAATTAGACATATTTATTGTGGAATCTATGATTTTCTATGATGCTTAGTGCTGTCTACTATAATCATTTTCTTTTTAATTGTATTACAGAAATATAAAAATGAGCCATTCCTCTTGTTAGTTTACCTTTTCACCACTGTTAACCATAATAAATATACTATCATATAGGGTTGCTGATACTGTTCTCTAGATTTAGGGTCTTACCAAAACAGTTGGCTTTTTCTTTAGTTCCTCAACCTACTCTCACAGCTAAGAACACTGGCCCAATTCTGAAAACCATGGTTTAACTCCTACGGTAGGATTTAGTATGAGATTGTTTATGAAGATTATGAGGTTTGTGGTTCTGCATGGTTACAGATGTGCCATTCCCTGCACCGACTTCTGAGAATGTGAGAGCAGGCTGAGTGTGTCTCTGCAGGGGTTGGAGTGCTTTGGATTGGCATGTCGGCATTCAGTGTGTCATCTTCACATCTTCCTGGGTCTCCCCACAGGAATGGTCCCTCCTTGTGGTGGTTTTCTTATCCCAGCTGAACCACCTTGCCTTTCAGGTTATTAGTAAAATAAACAACCAAATAATCTTAACAACTTAGTAGCCATTGTAAATGTAATTATTACATTTATTATCTTATATCCTAATCTACATGAGAATCTAACTTATTGTTGCACATGTTTTCTTATATATATAATTTATTAGGTTGTTTTAATGTTTAACATTCTCAAAGGAATCTCATAAAAAGTTTGAAGATTAAATGCACTGTTTCCCAAAGTTGAATTTATATAATAGATATTATTTGTTTACCTTTTTATTTTATTTTATTTTTTTAATTGATTTCAGAGAGGAAGGGAGAGGGAGAGACAGAAACATCAATGATGAGAACGAATCATTGATTGGCTGCCTTCTGCATGCTCCCCACTGGGGATTGAGCCCACAACTCAGGCATGTGCCCTTGACCAGAATCAAACCCGGGACCCTTCAGTCCACAGGCCGACACTCTATCCACTGAGCCAAACCGGCTAGGGCTGTTTACCTTTTAAAAGAAGTAATTTCACTATGCAGAAAGACTTTTTTTTTGTTATATCAGCAGCTATACTTTCTCTTACCTGACTCTGAAACTCAGAATTTGCCTGAAGGATATCTTTTATTAACTATGTTTTAAAATGTAAGCCTGTTTTGCTGTTCCAAACTCTTGGCTTGTAGCAGTTGTTTCCAAGACATAATGTTTTTAGTATATCAATAGGATAAGAAAATTTATATTTAGATTTTCATTTTATATTTAGATGTACCTTATTAAACACGTATATGTGAATTTTTCACATGTTCATTGATACTAGAAGTCATTTATATAAGCAGAGAGTGTGGAGAGAAATATATAAAAAGGAAATATATTTAAGCACAATCATGTATGTATTAACACAGATTTAAATGTTCAGTTTTTAATGGATAAAGTCCATATTTTCACATTCCTTATGAAGGAGGTAGATAATTAACTTTTAGGAATTATCAACAAATACGATCTTCTTTTTTTCAAACCTCACCAGAGGACATGCTGAGAGAGAAAGAGGGAAGGAGGGAGAGAGAGAGAAAGAGAGAGAGAGGTGAGAAACATAAATCAGCTGGACGAAGGGTATCTGCTAGAAAAACTGCATTATCATCTCCCCATTACATTTCTATTCTAGAGTTATATATATAATTGATTTTGAGAGAGAGGGGGTGGGAGGGAGAGGAAGAGGGAGAGAAACAGCAATGCAAGAGCATAACATTGATCTGCTTCCTGCACACCCCCAACCAGGGATCAAACCCATAACCCAGCAGGCATTTGCCCTGACTGGGAATTGAACCAGCAACTTTTCAGTGCACGGGATGATACTGCAACCAACCGCGCCACTCTGGCCGGACAACAAATATTATCTTTTAAAAGATAACCCTGAGCATACATAACTCTTTTCTTTTTAATTTCCCATGGCCAATTGATGTTCTATAAATTTACTTATATAGAACTAACCTTCAGTTTACCCATCCTCAAAAACACCAGAAATTTTAAAAATGTGAAGCCTTGGTATATGTGAATAAATTGTTAGTTGTGTTACCAACATAGAAAAACATTTTATAGAGACCTTATGAGATAAACTTCATACAAAAAAAAAGAGTGCCTAGCACACTGCCTTACTTAAGGGAACTTCTCAAAAATATTTGTTAAATGAGTTAGTCAATGATTAAACTTATTATATTTTATTAATACAGTTTTTAAAGATAAACTTTTTTTAACTTTTTAGATATAAATAAATTATCTCAAATCACTCAAAATGTTACAGACTTATGGATATTTCTTAAATATAAATGCTAAATAAAGCAACTAAAGCCCAGTAAATCCCAGTGTCAATGGAAGTGTGATACAGATGAAACTACATGAAGCAGATGGGTTGGTTTTTAATGTATAGTGTTGCAGTTCTCTATTTGTTTTCAACCTGCCATTACTTATGTCAGTATGCAGGTAAGCCTAATTTATGTTTCATAAAAGATTAAGCCAAATGCATGTAGAAACTTTAAAAAAATTATACAGGTACCAATAGTAAAATTGATCATTAATGTTAAATGATTGCATATGTGCTAGGCATTCTACTTCACACTTAAAAAGCTATGTCTGATTTAATCCTAACCTCACAGTGTAGACACTGTTCTTATCTCCAATTTAGAGGCAGTGAACTGAGCCTCAGGAAGTTGACTAACATGCTCCAAGCCACACAGACAGGCAGTTAAGAAGCCAGGTTCCCCTTCCTTCAAAGGACTTTCTTTCTTTTTATCACTTTCAGTGGTTCTCAACTTGTGGGTCGCGACCCCTTTGGCAGTTGAACGACCCTTTCACAGGGGTCGCCTAAGACCATCCTGCATATCAGATATTTACATTATGATTCATAACAGTAGCAACATTACAGTTATGAAGTAGCAACAAAAATAATTTTATGGTTGGGTCACAACATGAGGAACTGCTTTAAAGGGCCAGAAGGTTGAGAACCACTGGCTTAAATGTTCACTTTCTCACAGTTCTGGAGGCCAGAAGTCTAACATCAAAGCATCCATAGGTTTGGTTTCTCCTGAGGCCTTTCTCCTTGGCTTGCTGTGGCACCCTTTTCACTGTCCTTCTTCTGTGCAAGCATGCCCCTGGTGTCCCTTTGTGTGCCCAGATTTCCGTATCTTATTTTTTGCTTATTTGTTTGTTAATCCTCACCTGAGGATATTTTTCCCCCATCTATTTTTAGAGAGAGTAGAAGGGACGGGGAGAGACAGAGAAAATTGATGTGAGAGAGACACATTGATTGCTTGCCTCCCGGCCTCCCAGGCCTAGGTCTCCCAGTGGGGCCTGAATCGAGCCACAATCAAGGTACATGCCCTTGACCAGAACTGAACCCAGTACCCTTCAGTCCATAGGCCGACGCTCTATGCACTGCTATTCACTGAACCAAACTTTTTCTATCCCCACCTCCACGCTCCTGAGACTCCAATTACTTGTATTCTTGAATGCCTAATGTTGTCCCACTGCTCATTCATCATTCATTTATCACAGTATATTTATATTTATGACTTTTTTCTTATGTTTTATTTTGGGTGTTTCTATTGCTGTGTCTTCAAGTTCATGATTTTTTTCATCTGCAATGCCTATCTACTGCTAATCCTGTCTACTATATTTTTCACTTCAGAAATTGTAATTTTCATCTTTAGAGTTTTAATTGGATCATTGTTTTTATCTTCTGTGTCTCTATTTTTTTAATCCTCACCCAATAATATGTTTTTATTGATTTTTAGAGAGAGGAAGAGGGAAAGGGGGAAACAGAGAGGCAGAAGCATTGATCAGTTGCCTCCCATACGCACCCCCAAACCCACAACCCAGGTATGTGCCCTAACCAGGAATCAACCCCGTGACCCTTCTGTGCCTGGGACGACACTCCAGCCAATTGAGCCACACCAACCAGGGCCCATGTCTCTATTTAATATGCTCAGTTTTTAAACTAGCTTTTAACATATGAAATAGCTACAACTAATACAATGTCCTTGTCTACTAATTTTATCATCTGTATCATTTCTAGGCCTATTTCTAGTGACTGGTTGTTCTCAATATGCATTGTATTCTGTGCTTTGTATACCTGATAATTTATGATTGGATGCCAAATGTTGTAAATTTTGCATTTCTTGCTGGAATTTTTAAAAATGTTCTTTAATTTTGAGCTTTGTTTTAGAAATAAGTGACTTGGACAACTTAATCCTTCGGAGGCTTGCTTTTATGCTTTGTTAGGTAAATCCTTTAGACGAGGGCTAATTTGACACCATTATTGAGGCACTGTTTCTACTTTAGCAAGTGGAAACACAAGATATATATGGCCCTGTATAACAGGGACTGTTCTGTCTACTGCTTTGTAGTGATCCCTTTCTGGCCTCGGGTTAATTTAGTCACTAATCATGAACTGAGTAGCACTCAGCTAAAGAATCTAAGGCCTAAAGTCCAATACAACTTACTATGATGATGGTATTATGACTATTGAGCATTTGAAATGTGGTTAGGGCAACTGA